CCTCACTTACCGGTATCTGAGCAATTCTTCCTGTTGCTTTTACGGAACTTCCTCTTGTATCATCAAACCATCACCCATTAATACAACACCAACATTTTTTGATTCCAAATTCAAAGCAATGCCTACTGTACTTTCTTCAAATTCTACTAATTCACCCGCCATTACTTCATCAAGACCATAAATACGAGCAATGCCATCGCCTACTTGAAGTACGGTACCTGTATTTACAATTTTTACTTCGGTATTATATTGCTCAATACGTTCACGGATAATTTTACTATTTCATCTGCACGAATGGTTACCATGAATATTTCTGAATTTGATTCTTTTCGAAGAAAAACAAAAAGAAGGCCTGCCTGCCTATACTCTCAATTATAGTAGAACAACTAATCAGTTATTTTTTTCTTTCATCGCCCCAAACATACCAATATTAGCACTGATCGTACGTAAATGTAACTCGTTGTTTAAGCAACTATTCAAAGTTCCCAGAGCTCCTTGTAATGCTTGTTGTAAAACCCTTTGTTGCACTTGATTAATTGCCCTTTGTTGTTCAAAATGAATGGTTTCATTTTTGTAATTTTCGAATTGTTCCAAAGTTGTATAAATTGAATTAATTAAATTCAATTTTTCTCGTTCTATCTCGGAATAACCATTCACTCGAAACCGATCTGCTTCCATTTCTACTTTCCTTAAACGGGACCGGGCTTTTTCCAGCTGTTCAATGGCTGTTTCCCGTAGTTCTTCTGAATTTCGAATAGTTCTCAAGATTCTCTGTTTTCGATTATCTAATAAATCACTTAATGAAAGTAGATTCTCTTTCATTCATTTCAAAATGTCTATGATCTCTTCCCGAACCAAACATGAATCTTTCAATTCATTTGGCTCTCACACTCAATTCCTTATAGGAATTTCCCCATATTTATTATGGAATGAGCCTATCCTCTTTTCTCTATTTCGAAAAATCTTGAAAATGATTATCAATACAAGACCCCAATATTTGGAGGACTCTTCTGACCAAACAAATAATTGTCAGCAAAGTTGTTTTTTTTTTTCTTGAAATCCAAAGAATTCTCATTAATTTATACGTAGGTCATCAATTCTGCATTGTAGAAAAGTAGAAACGGAGGCGTTAAACACAACACCTTTTTCCTATTTTTCATCCATCATAAAGAGAATTCAAGTCAGTTTTTCGACATGAGTGTTCTATATCGAAAAAATTCGAATTTCACTATTAACATAGTGGTAGAAAAGAATACTAGACTGCGTCGAAACTTCAACTGGTTAGCTTTAACCATGGTAATGTTCCAAAATTCTTGGTTGATAGAGAATCAAAGTAGATTTCCCAATGAATCGCGAAATGCTATGGTTCTTAACTATTTTTTTTTCGTTATTTTGTAAGAAGTCATTCGCCGGATCATGCACATTTTCCTAGTTATAACAAAAAAAGTGCAGTTGGTTGTATCCAATCTATTCTTTGAAATAAACAACTCGCACACACTCCCTTTCCAAAAAAAATCAATACACCTAGCACTGCACTTAGATTTATTAGATTTGTTGCTAAAATATCGGTATCAAACCCGAAACTTCCGGCGGATGGCCAGTAAATGAAGCAAAGAAAAGAATCGGTTATATTTTTCATATGATCGCATCTCCTCTTATGGATAGACAAAATTTCTTTTTACGATTCCAAGTTTTTTTATTTGTTTATGATAGTTTATTCTATAATCTAATTTTTTAATTATTTAATATGAATATATCAAATTAGTATATTTTTATTCTTACTAAAATGAGTATATTAGTAAGAATAAAAATATACTAAAATTGGTTAGTCAATTGAAAGAGTCCCTATAAGAATGATACTTCTTAGAAGGAAATACTAGTTCTTATGTCAATTGCAAAATACTTAGTTGGTTTCAACACTTTCTAAATCAAAATTAAGGGGTCAGTGGACTAAAAAAAGGGACGGAAGAAGGCGAATCAGTATGTTAATCCGAATGAAGAAAAAATTGTAGGAGTAAAATCTAAATAGAATGAAAAAAAAAGCAAGAGCAGCAACGAAAGTCCATGGACAAAACAAGATGTATTTTTTTTATTAAACAAAAGGATTGGCAAATAAAAGAGCTAATGCTACAACCAGCCCATAAATAGTTAAAGCTTCCATAAAAGCCAGACTAAGTAATAAAGTACCCCGTATTTTGTCCTCTGCTTCCGGTTGTCTCGCAATCCCTTCTACAGCTTGCCCTGCAGCTGTGCTTGACCAACTCCAGGTCCAATAGAAGCAAGCCGACGGCCCAACCCAGCAGCGATAACAGAAGCAGCAGCAATCAGTGATTCATGATAAGTTTCTCCTATTCCAAAGAAAATTAAAAAAATAGTTAATAATATAATCAACAAAAAATTTATGACTTAATTATTTCATTCTTCATATTTCTCTTTATCTAGTCGAAGTGTAATTCAAAATTTCAAACTTAATAATTTTTATTGAATTATCCCAATTACTTCGATATTCACTTTTTTCGTTTCTACCCTTGTAGTTTTTTGTGAATACATACATTTTTGGTCTTATCTTACATTTTAAACTTTTTTTTTCTTTGATTTCATTTTTTTAGTCATTTTTTTATATTCAATTCAGAATTACAAGAGATGGAATCTTTTTTTTGAATCCCTACCTAAATTTAGAGTAGTAGCAGAACAAATTTAGATAGATCGTCATATATAACTAATGAATATCTACTATGACATATACATGTGTTTGTTCCATACCGTAAACCAATGAGTTGTATCTTAGATTCAATCAATCATTCTTGGAAATCCCCCAGCTGTCTTATAACGATTAGATTATATATACACCTAGTTTGACCCCCTCAACCTTTGTTAATTTATTTAATCTCTATTTTTTTTTTTACAATTCCCTGGTAATTGTTTTAATTTTCTTTCTACGTTTGATTGTTATTAAACCTTTTTAAAATTTCTTTGTATTTTTTTATTAATATTCCTTAAGTATATTATCGCGAGCCACACATACTTTGTTGCGGGCTAAAACACGATTTTGATAACTAGTCAATGATGCCCTTCCATGGATTCACCTTATACGCCGCAGCTAAAGTAGCGAAAATAAGAGCTTGAATACCACTTGTAAATAATCCAAGGAACATAACAGGTATAGGAACTACTAAGGTACTAACGAAACAAGAACAACAACTACTAATTCATCCGCTAATATATTTCCAAAAAGTCGAAAACTAAGCGATAAGGGTTTTGTGAAATCTTCTAAGATGTTAATCGGTAAAAGGATTGGCGTTGTTGGTTGGATGTATTTACCAAAATAGGCCAATCCCTTTTTTGAAATACCCGCATAGAAATAGGCTACTGACGTAAGTAAAGCTAATGCAACAGTAGTATTTATATCATTTGTGGGTGCAGCTAACTCTCCATGAGGTAACTTTATAATTTTCCAAGGCAAAAGGGCCCCTGACCAATTCGAAACAAAAATAAATAGAAACAGAGTTCCAATAAACGGAACCCATGGACCATATTCTTCTCCAATCTGAGTTTTGCTCACGTCTCGAATGAATTCAAGGACATATTCAAAAAAATTCTGACCAGACGTGGGAATAGTTTGCGGATTTCTAACAACTAGAATGGTTGAAATTAATAAGATAGCAATTACAACCCAAGAGGTAATAAGTACTTGAGCATGCACTTGAAAATCCCCTATTTGCCAATAGAAATGTTGACCTACTTCCACAGCAGATATATCATAGAATCTGTTTAATGTGTTGATGTAACATAATAGAACATTCATATTGCCCTGTCCTCTAAAATAAAAAAATATACCTTGAAAGGGAATTATTTTGATTCAACCATTTCCTTATTTTACTTTGATTTTCTATTTTGAATACCTAACTAATCACAAAATATTTCTTTTTACACAATTTTGTAATGCTATAATAACCAATTCCAAAAATCTATGACCGCACGCCCAACCAAATCGAAAAATTGATTTATCTTATTATTAATCAATTTTTTTGTATATAGCTAGAACGACCCTCACAAATTGCAAAAACTAATTTGTTAAGAATTAATCCGATGGAAGCTATAGCATCATCATTAGCCGGAATCGAAATATCTGCAAGATCTGGGTCAGAATTTGTATCAATTAAAGAAATCGTTGGAATTCCCAAAGTGATACATTCTTGAAGAGCCGTATATTCTTCTTGCTGATCAAGGATTATTACAATATCAGGTAATCTTGTCATATATTTTATACCGCCTAGATATCTTTCCAAATGAGATAATTGTCTCTTCAACATAGTGGCATCTCTTTTTGGAAGAGAGTTCAGTTTCCCCGTCTTTTGCTCCGTTCTCAAGTCCCTGAACTCACGAAGTCTCGTTTCTGTAGTATACCAATTCGTTAACATACCTCTGAGCCATTTTTTATTAACATAATGACATCGAGCTCTTATTGCAGCCCGTGTTACTGAATCGGCTGCTTTTTTTTTTGTACCAACAATTAAAAATTGTTTTCCTGTGCTTGCTGCATCAAAAGCCAAATCACACTTCTGATAAAAAACGAGCAGTTTTAGTAAGATTTGTAATATGAATACCTTTACGTTTTCCCGATATAAAAGGTGCCATTCGAGGATTCCAGTTCCTAGGCTCATGGCCAAAATGAACCCCAGCTTCCATCATCTCTTCAAAAGTGATGTTCCAATATCTTTTTGTCATTTATCCCCACACTTTTTTAAAAAAAAAAAATTGAAAAAAAATAAAGAGAGACCCAGTATCCTGAAATAGCAATAAATAATTGTTCCGATGGAACCTTCTCTTTTATAGACGATTGGCCGTTAAGATAGAATCAGGCCATTCTTTTATTTCTATTTATTATTATTTTTTTATTCTACTTTATTACCAAATCAAATGACTGCATTTAAAGATTTTAAGGGGCTGAGTCGAATCCGCTTTTAGGAACCATTTAATCCTATATTTCTAATAATGTATCACATAAATTCTTTGAAATGATAAAAATCAAAGAATTTTCTGTGATGGAACAAAAGATTTCTAATTTCTACTTCGAATAATTTTTTTTTCCGGGTAATCTTGTTATGTTGCCTTGACCGTGAACGGTGCATTATTCTTTTGAATCCGGTACCAACGGGTATCATCCCCCCTAAAACAACATTCTCTTTAAGACCTTTCAACCAATCAATACGACCCCGAAGAGCGGCTTTTGCTAAAACTCTAGCAGTTTCTTGAAAACTCGCTTCAGATATGAAACTTTGAGTATTCAGAGATGTTTTTGTTATTCCCAATAATAAAGCTCGGTAACAAATGGGTTCTTCCAAGGCACGCCCCATTCGTTCTGCTCGCAATAATCCAATTAGTTCGCCAGGTAAAAATACATTAGACATTCCATCTTCTGAAACCAAGACTTTGGATGTTATTTGACGCACAATAATCTCGATATGTCTATTATGGATATGTACTCCCTGGGATCGATAAACCTTTTGGATTTTATTAACCAAAGAAATACGACTTTGCGCTATAGTTAGCTCAGCACCAATCAAGAATCCCCAAGGCATGCCGAGAATTTTTGTTATACACTCGTTCCAAGCATCAATTCTTTTTTCTAGATTCATGGATATTGAATCAATCGAACGTATTTCTAATATCTGTTCCACTTTTGGAAGACCTTGTGTTATATCACCGGATCTCGATTTTTCATATATGAATGTAACTAAAATATCTCCTTGAGAAAGGATCTCCCCATAATGGCCGTGAATGGTTGCTTCTGGAGTCGCCAAATAAGGATTAGCCAATCTTATTATTACAGAATCCATTTGAACTGTTATAACTTGACCCGATTTTAGTTTTAGGTGTGGTCCATTTTTCATTTTAGCTATACATATATTTTCACAAATCAATTGTCCAAGACTTATTATTGTAAACGTTTTTTCACAATAAAAATGATGGAGAAAAAACCAATTCAAATGGAATGGATTCAAAACAATATTACTGTATAGATCGGGTTTAAAAATTTTCTCATTTTCGTCCATTAAATAATATTTAATTACTTGAAAAATTTCAGTGAATTTGTCAAGTTGCAAATTTTTAATGATTGAGATCTTATTATGAGTTATTAAATGATAAAGTGAATAAAAATTCGCAACTTGAAGGGCTATTCCTAAAGGGCCGAACGAATTATTATTATTAATTGAAATTATAGGATCTTTTTTTATTCCATTGTGATATTTTACATTGTTGAATGGTCTCATTTGAAAACAATTAGATGATGACAAAATTATCCAAGATCGGCATTCTTTCTTTTTATTCAACAACATACGAATAGTTCCGTGATTTTGGCTAAGTGATTGTTGAATTTTTCCCTTGGAATGAATAGAAAAAAAGGGATTGATTCGATCCGATTGATTATCCCTGATCAATCCTAAACCAGACGGGTCATTTCTTTTTCTAATATATGAAGTATTAGATTTGACTAAGTCAATTCTTAGAAAATACTCAATCAAACCATTTGTACTTACTTCAATAAAGGAAGCGGGGGCCTCCTCAATAGAAGAACTTTTTTTCCCGTGATCCCAATTGAAGACTAAACAAGTCCGAACTAATTGAATCCTTGTGTCGGAAATTCCCCGAATGGATTTTCCATTTCCATAAAGAATATAATTGACAACTTTTAGTTCCAGATTATCCTTTTCCTGGAATAGATCTTGGGGAAAAAGTTTTACAAAATTGATACTGTCCGGTATTTCATATAAAATTACAGGTCGAACCAAAACAAAATACTTTTTCTTGGTAGTTGCGATCCATTGGACATAAATCCAATTTTTAAATTTTTTTGATTCCTTGCATTTTTTTTTTTTTACCGTTCCGGGCGGTCTCAAGATGGCACTGTGTCGGGATATCTTATCCATCTCTCCGGGAAAATGGATATTTCCAGAAAATATTTTTAATTCTATTTTTTTTTTTTTCTTTTCTAATCGGACCAATCCGCCTACTCGACTTCTTATATTGAAAGTGATTGGTGTTCCTATTCCAACAAGACTATTATTCCGTACCATTAGGGAAGAAGATTCGGGTAAAATATGCACTTCTTCGGGAATAAAAAAAATTTTATCTACTTGAATTTGGTATTTTGGCTTTACTTCTTCGATTCCTTGATACTCACTGAAATCTTCTTTTTGAAAAATAGAATGAATTCCTATAGTTGTATATTTAGTAATTCCTGAACTCTGTCTTATGTATTGAGGATCATTGAAATAAGCAAAAATACTATTTTCATGAAAAATACCATTGATAGGTATTTCAATGGAGACACCGGAAGGGGACATTAGTTCGTTCTTTCGTTCTTGAATCGATTGGAATGGAAATGGAATAAGAAATCTATTTCTTCGCCTTTTCGCCAAGAAATAAAAAGTATCGTTCAAAATAGCAGGATACATTAAATCAGAATGATCTGTACATATGATTTGATTCAATATTGAAGAATCGCTAATCCACTTTTCTTTTGTACCAAAAGTATTGAATTTATGTTTTACTTGATCATTCCTTTCTAAAAGATTCGAAATATTTGTTTTTCCATTAGAAAGTGAATCCATGGTAACTTGATCTTGATCCTTGCGAAGTAAAAAATGGATTGTATTAGACCTGCACGACTTTCCTGACAATATCCATAAATGACTTGTTTTTGGTAAGATATGTACATTACTATATATAAATTGTGATGTATGGTACACATCGGTACTCCAATGCATTTCCCCTTCTGAGTCAGAATAAATATGTTTTTGAACCATTTCCCCTTCTGAGTCAGAATAAATATGTTTTTGAACCCTCTCTTTCAAATTTAAAGTAGATGTTCCCGCGCGGATCTCCGCAATCACTTGTTCTGATTTTACATATTGATTATTTTGAACTAATAGAAAACTTTTTGGTGGAATAATGACGTTATGTATAATATCGTCACTTTCAATAGTTACATAGAAGTCTATATTACATATAAAAGCAGGATATCCATGACGTGTCCGTGTAGGGTGAACTAAATCCTCATTAAATTTTATTTTTCCATTCGAGGGGGCTCGCACATATTCAGCAGTACCCCCTGTGAATACTCCACCAGTATGAAAAGTTCTTAATGTTAGTTGAGTTCCCGGTTCTCCAATAGATTGACCAGCAATAATCCCTACAGCTTCTCCCAATTCTACCAGGTCCCCATGAATAGGACTCCGCCCATAACACAATCGGCAGATCCAAGACGTATTCCTACAGGTAAAGGGGGTTCGAATAAATATTGGTTGTGTTTGAAAAGTTATGAATCGATTGATAAGTCCAATTCCAATATCTTGATTTCTAACGACAATGCACCGTGAACCTATATATATATCGTCTGCTACTACACGACCAATTAATGTTTGTATCAAAATTCTTTCTGGCATCATTCCATTTCGGGTGTTTACATAAATCCCACGGATGGTACCGCAATCTGTTCGCCGTACAACAATGTGTTGAACCACTTCAACAAGTCGACGTGTAAGATATCCAGCATCTGATGTTCGTACAGCAGTATCTACAACCCCTTTACGGGCTCCGTAGCAAGAAATTATATATTCTGTTAAAGACAGTCCTTCACGTAAATTGCTTTGAATGGGTAAATCAATCATTTGTCCTTGTGGATCTGACATTAATCCTCTCATTCCGACTAATTGGTGCACTTGAGATGCATTTCCTCTAGCTCCTGAAAAAGACATGATATGGACTGGATTAAAGGGGTCAGTCATCCTCATTTGTTGTCGCAAATATTCGCTTGTAGCATACCATATTTCAATGGATTGGCGTAATTTTTCTACCGCATGGACATTTCCATAATGATTATGTTTTTCCAAAATGGAACTTTGTTGTTCAGCATCTTGGACTAGCCATCCTTTTGAAGGTATTGTTAAAAGATCATCAATTCCTAATGAAATAGATGTAGCAGTAGCTTGATGGAATCCTAGAGTCTTTACTTGATCTAGGATGTGTGATGTATATGCCATTCCGAAATGATCTATTAATCTGCTAATAAGTCGTTTAATGGCAGTTCCACCTATCACGTTATTGTGAAAGACTAGATCGGCCCGTTCTGCCATAAGTACCTCCATATTCCACTCAGTGTTATTCGGTTCGACAATGGATTTGAGTTAATGATTGGAAAACTTCCTTTTCTTTATGTTTATTCACGTAGAAAATTGAAAAGATGCTAGTTGACCTGAATTTACACCAGTATCATAAATTGACTTAGCGTGGATACCAACACTAACCATTTATATGATTAGATACCATATGAATCGGCTCGAGAAAAACCTAAAAACCTTGTATAGCTTCTTCGATTTCTCGATAAAAAGAAATATGACCAATAGTGGTTCGAATGTATATACAACGAATTTCTTTTTTTATACTTCTTATTACTAAATAATCCCCATAAATCTCATAATAGGTACCAAAAGATTCATAGTGAACTTCGATAGGAACTTCTCTTGAAGACATAATGCATTGATCTATTCGCCACCGGAGCCAAAAAGGACTATCGAAATTTATTCTTTTCTGTCTATAAGCTCCAATTGCATCATAGGAATTGCAAAAAAAGGGTTCTTTTTTTTTCATATACTTCAAGTTATTATTGCTAATTTTTTCATTGTGAGAATTTCGGGAATTAAACGAATTATACCTGTTTGCACAAATACCTCGACGATTTCCGCTAGTTAATACGTAAAGTCCAATAAGCATATCTTGAGTTGGTACACAAATGGGATCCCCAATAGCCGGAGACAAGAGATTCGTATGAGAAAACATAAGTAAACGAGCTTCTGCTTGAGCCTCCAAAGATAAAGGCACATGAACAGCCATTTGATCCCCATCAAAGTCTGCATTGAATCCCTTACACACCAATGGATGTAAACAAATAGCACGTCCTTCGACTAAAATGGGTTGAAATGCCTGTATGCCCAATCTATGCAAAGTAGGCGCTCTATTCAGCAATACTGGATGCCCCCGCATAACTTCTTGAAGTATTTCCCATACAATGGGTTCTTTTTCCCGGATTTTCCTCTTAGCAACTCCTATGTTCGAAGCAAAATGGTTTTGAATTAAACCACGAATTAGAAACGTCTGAAATAGCTCTATTGCTATTTCGCGGGGCAATCCACATCGATGTAATGAAAGTGATGGACCTACGACAATAACAGAACGCCCCGAATAATCAACTCGTTTTCCAAGAAGAGTCTCTCGAAATCTTCCCTCTTTGCCCTCAATTATATCGGAAAACGATTTGTAAACTTTATTATTACCGTCCCTCATTGGTTGTCCGCGGATTCCATTATCAAGAAGTGTATCCACGGCTTCTTGTACCAATTTTTCTTGACACATTACTAATTCCTCTGGTGTAGATCTACTTGTTGTTAATAGATCAATAAGAGTATTGTTCCGATAGATAACTCTTCTATAGAGTTCATTAATATCCGAACTCATTAGTTTACCGCCATCTATTTGAATAATTGGTCTCAATTCGGGAGGAAGCACTGGTAAGAGACATAATACCATCCATTCTGGTTCTATATTTGTTCGGATAAAATGCTTAGCTAATTCCATGCGTCGAACCAAAAAATTCTTTCTTCTTCCAACTTTTTGATCTTCCCATTCATTTTCATTGTCAGTGGACCCCTCTTCTCCTAATTCTGTCCATTCTAGCAACGAAGAATCCATAATCATTCTTAAATCCAGATCAACTAATTGTTCTCGTATAGCACCCGCTCCACTAGAAATTTCTCTATTTCGAAATGTATCCAAACCTTGAGTAGCAAAAAAGAGTGGGAGACTGTATCTCCAGGATTGGATTTCATAGTCGAATGAACCTCGTAATCGTAAGAAAGTTGGTTTTTTAACTACGGGCCTAGCAAAAGAAAAATTTGGATAGGATCCAATAAGATGGATCTCCCCCTTTGAAAATCGGACATGAGGGTTTCCTCTCATCCGGCTAAAGTATTTACACACAATTAAAGATAAAGAAAGGGGTTTCCGCTTTCATATTTTTGAAAACCTCTAATCTAAAATATAAAATAAAAAAGGTTTACTCTTGACTCAAGTTATCAATAAAGACCAAGCAACATTTCATTGATACATTCTTCGGTTTTTCTGAATTTTTTATGCAATTCGAAATTCCGACAGAAATAAAATGTAAAATTCTTGAGTAGTCTACCTCCCTTCGAACGAGGAATCCTCTAAAATGAAATTCTTAATAAAAAAGGAATATCTTCGACTTCATAAGAGATTTCTTTGTCTCTGTATCATACCGTTTGATCTTTTAGGTCAAGACGTCACCTCGACGGGTATGCCACGATGTCTTAAAGCCTATATGCGATAGATAAACTTCTGCAATCATGATATATTTTATTCTTTGAACATAATTTTAGTTCTTTTAAAATAAAAAAAAAAAAAAGAGATGGAATAATGAATTCCACAAAAAAGTATTTTTTTTTTCACAAGGTACATACAGTATAAAGAGTTTTTTGTTACTGAATTGACCATAGACCAACTCCCTTATTGGGAGTATTCAATACACCCATGAATTGAATTCTGAGCTTCATGTTACTCATCCCAAGAGACATGCCAGATATAGGACATTCCAATTTAATTGAATGGAATGACAGTTTTTCATTCGAAATCTGTACAATAAGAATTTTTATCAAATCACACATCGCAGTATACTAGACCCTCTAATTCTTTAAGAGGTTTATCTAAAAGGCTCGCGATATAACTAGGAAGACGTTTCAAATACCACACATGGGTTACTGGACATGCTAATTTGATATACCCCATTTGATATCTACGTATCCGAGAATCAACAAATTCTACTCCGCATTGTTCACAAAATTGAGGTTGGTCTTTTTTATCTCCGATTACTCGATAATTTCCACAAGCACAAATCCCACTTTTTATAGGCCCAAAAATTCTTTCACAAAATAATCCATCTTTTTCAGGCTTATTGGTTTTATAATGAAGAGTATAGGGTTTTGTTACCTCCCCAACTGTTTCTCCATTAGGTAGGATTTTTTTTGCCCAAGCACTTATTTGTTCAGAGGAAACTGATCCAATTCGAAGGTGTTGATGTTTATACTGATCAATCATAAAATAAAATTTCGGATTCAGTCCAATTAAACTTCCTTCCTTTGAATCTGAAAGTCTTTCTCAGAGACAAGGAAATGATTCAGTTCCAGAGCCAAAGATCGTAGTTCGCGAACGAGCAATCGAAAAGATTCTGGAGCATCCACAGGTTTCGGTATTGTTCCTCCACTAATTGTAGTTCCAAGTACTTCTTGACGAGCTTTAATATGATCAGATTTATAAGTAAGCATCTCTTGTAAAATATGAGCAACACCGAATCCCTCGAGGGCCCAAACTTCCATTTCGCCTACCCGTTGTCCTCCTTGTTTGGCCCTTCCTTTAAGGGGTTG